ACAGAACCATTACGACAAGAAGTAAGCTTGAGTGCGTTCTACGTATCCTTAGATCTTTGCATAGCGAACGGCATTCAGTACAAATCCGGACCTTTACAAACTTGTGCCTGAAATCCGCATCTGCCATGTTGAACTCTGGTAGCAGAGCATTAGCGACCGAGAAAAGAAGGAAACACGTTTGCACTGCGCACCCAGCCACATCAAAGAGAATAGTCGGATCGATCCGAAAGTAGTTAATTCACATCGTACATTCGGTGTCAATAGCAAACTTTATTGCTGATAATATTAGCTGCCATGTCGCTTTTGATCTCGACAACCTACCGGTACACAAACGAATCTTTTATTGCATGAACAAATGTCCCTGAAGACTAAAGAACTAACTAAATATTAAACATGACAGTATCTCGGCCGATCGTCAAAAGTATACTACTTCTTCTTTGTGTTACATTTTCGAGAAGCTATTTCTGAATCTCACCACCATATTACCCCAGCGTATTATTTCCAATACATCGAAGAATAGGTATGTAACACCCGTCTACCAGAATGCTGCAGGATTAAAACAAGAAAGAGGTCCGATATATTAGGTTCTCTGGCATAATTCTAGACTGCTCATTTATGAATTTACCTATTCATCCTAAATACGATACGTAGGTGATCCTAAAATCTGGTGATGCTTGATCTCCAACAGTAGACGTTATTTCTACTATGTGTTGGTAATTAGTTACGGATCAATCGTCGCCTGTCCCTACCAACTGCGGCCGACAGTTGCTGACCAATTTCTATCGCAGGTTCTTGAAGGTCTCCAGGAGAATGGGTGGGGTTACATAGTACGTAAGCTGTCTGCAAAGATTGGCTTGCCAGGACACGCCACTCAATCGCAGCCGTCGAAGCGGTTAGGGAAATTAATGTAGTATAGTTAGCGCACCCCTGTCAGCCCCACCATCGAAGTAACCACTTTTACAGCAAAGACAGAATTACAGAGAGATCATCATAACAATTGACTATGACAACCCTACCGTGCAATGACAATGATTAATATCGTCTCCACCTTGTTCTCACAAGAGAAATCGCTTGCCAAGACCACGCCTTTTTGACAGGTACAGGTAGTTCGATCCTGAGAATGTCAGACAAGGTCAGGTCTATTGATCAGACAATATCAGTACTTGTGTGGTGCATCTATTTGCGCATAGGTATCGCCAAATATACGTATCGAATGTATGCACTCACCATTCGCTGTCCTAGGTGACGACAGATATCTAACTATACTGCACGCATCTATGTTTTTTTTAATTTTATCTTTATCCTTGAATTGTATGATGGCATGAACATGTCACTATGTGATTATGCACAAAATCGCCGGACACAATCTACGTCGACCAAATATAAAATGCAGAGGTCACTATAATACAGCGGGAATCAATTAAATATATTACCGATTTCGTTGAGCAGACGACGCAAATTAGCGTTCGCCATAGATGAAGTTGACGGGTCCAATTATCCATGGTCACAAACGTCGTTATTAATGGCCAATGCTGTTACCACGGCCGTCACCAGAGCCGTCACAACGAGCACATCTGGTGGAACTCGCCAGGGTACTGCAGTTCGATGTTAACGCCATTGTGATGTTATTGGTATCACCAGCCGGCATAACGAGCGGTGGTCGTCTGCGAACCATTCCAGTGCTCGAAAGTTTTACCGCGTGCGCCGGCAACGCCAACAAGACTCTCACAGGCACGAAAGAGTTTCAGCAAATAACTTACGAGAGTAATGATGGCAATATGTCATCTCGCTATCATCTTGGTTAGAGACAGATTGTTTATAATTGCTTAACACTATGAAACGGGAAGCGATGGCAGTGACTTTGTTACTAAAAATAGTGATCCGCTCAAGTGATCGGTAAACCGGCTGATTGAGCCCAGACTCATCGAACAAGGATCACTATTCATTACCATAGGGAAACGGATCACCTCTCATATACCAGAAAGCTACTGTTACGCCTTTTCTTGTCAACCCTAACCTGGCCGCGTTCAAGGCTAGAAACTAGTAGAAGTAAAAAAGAGGAACTTGCGCCAGTGGTGGGCAGTGGGCGAATAATGTTAAACCCAAAGTAAACGTATCCTTTACAAGCCATGAAGAGCAAATGAAAATCAAAAAAAAAACAATAAGATGTCGGGGATTTCCACAGCTACATCAGTCTACAGCCATGAAGTCACAGAGAGCAATACGTTTTTGGTCGAGCTGGTGCAGTATGAAAAAAAATCTGGCTGACTGCTAGATTCAACACGTATTGAATCAACGAAGCGACACGACGAAGCACGTATTATGTTAGAAATTGAATAATGATTAAGTCTGCTGAGTGAACCCGTCACGTGTCGCACATACCGAACCAACGGTTATATTTAGCGTATACAGAAAAAATACATTTAAAACGTTTACGGCGCCTTTAGTCACTACCTAAAGCAATATCAAATCAAATTGTAGAGTAGTGTCTCTCTGCAAGGCACTTGCTGATTCCGATTTACGATAGACAGGGCTAAAGATCATCCTTTGTTAGGAGCTCATATCGTCCGCGTTGCTTAGTCCCACAGCCAGTGTGTCTCCAAATAGATACACGGACTGTATTAGGGCTCCCGTCAATAGTTTATACATCTAGACACTTATGCTATTATCGAACAGGTCGTACTGGCAATCATGATCTTACGAGTATACGACATGATATAATACGTAGGTTCTAAACGCCTACGGTAGTCGCGCATCAAGATGGCACCGGTACCGGTCTGTATCGTTTCTTGCAATAATCACTCTGCACGAAGGGGGTGTGTATGTGTACGTGCACAGCCGCGATGGCTATCGATGCTTTCGTATGTCACTGTTAAGCAACGCCGCTGGTCCGGACATCTGCAGTACCCCAACTATGGCTATAATACCCATTTAGTCTGGCCGCATGCCAGTTTACCTGTGCCAGCTGGCCAGATTCCGAAACCTGTTTGTTATTGTCACTATCATTGTAATAAAAATTCCGCAGGCTATAACACCAGCACATAAAATATGGTCTTTCTTTTAGAAGTATAGATGGATTTGTTAATTAAATGCTAAAGGATATACATGGATCGACAGCGGAAAAGCTTTACGCGCACCATCCTAAAAACTACGCTGCCTGGCCTTGATTAATGTAGCGCTGAACAGCTATACCAGGCATGAAACTCGGAAACGATTTTAGTTAAATTTATAAGCGGGAGCTGAGGGCACGATATTTTGTAAGTAAAAAAAGGATAAAACAGCAAAGCCTGTTATCGGCGTCGATAGGAATACGAACACAGCATGCTCCTTTAACATGAAAGGGGCTAATCGGATACTAGGGCGGTGATCTTGTTTGTCCAAACGATGGCTAATACGCCAAAATCAAACAGATTGTTACCAATAATCGCCATTTTGGGTAGCCAGATTGAAGGTTCATTTTCTGTATCATTTTACTACACTGTTTAAGTCACTAGGTTTACCATTTCGAATAGACCGCTCAGAAATTGATGTTCGAAGTCAACATTTCTATATCTATTGGCTTCGACAAGGCTGTACACGCTGAAACAATAATAAATAAACAATATACTTGTGATAAAAAGGCATTCATGCACACTAACACGATGTCGATCCAAGCGTAATTAAGGAACCGCACAACATATCGTAATATGGTGTATCGACTTTTACCGGGAATATCCCCAAAAACAAAGTTACGCGAAAGACGGCTTTAGGTGGTGCAATCTATGGCGCAATTTAGAAACTTCAACTGTCTATCGAATATAACTTCGAAACATTTGCAGACAACTATTTCGGACAGGCGCATTCCTAGTACATGATGGAGTATTCACTATTCCGAATTTCCGTGTATACGATAAAATCATCAACGTTAGCTGCCAAGATGTTCGTCCAAGTCCAGCACGAACATGGTCCAAACGTGTATTTCGATGAACACCACACGAATAGATGGCCTAGCTAGGTAAATAGCTAGCGACTTTAGCCACGAAGGCCTGATCTGCGACTGTACCTGCGTTAAGCGACCACCCTAAAACATATCCCAAGAGATGATATTTTCTTGTGAATAATTCTCTGAGCAACACTGCTGACCTTTGGCGAAGAGAGTACTCAGGAAAACGAAACGCAATTTGGCGGCGGAGACACAAACTCATATCGATAATAGTACACTCTTAGAATGTTAGCGGATTGTCGTCTTCGGAACCTATACTATTGCTACTCAAGCAATTTGTCTGACGCTAAGAATTAGCGGTCGGCATCATCAATTATCTTTGCCATCATCAGGCATAGTATGTGCCTGTAGCGTTTGGTTAATGAACACGACTGCTGTCACAACAGGTTTTTGAACATTTTTAAAATTATTATCGAAAATAGCAATTGAAGGTACCGCGTGAGAATAAGCGATTTTCATACCTCCATTAAAGAAATCCGCGGAATTCTACCTGAAGCAAAGCTGCCATTGCGCTTAATCCCAGGAGTCTTGCAGCGAACGTTTCGACAGGAACCTTCATGTCATCAAGGCAGTCATTAGCCTATATAAGTGTTATAAGCCCGCTTGCCTGGCTAGATGTGCCCACACGCTTCCAAAATCATCTGATAGTGCTTGTATCAATGCTGTCAATAGGCGTATGCCATTGTTACTGTAGCTGGCAAGCAGGAGAGTTAACTTCTCACATACATTCGTGTATATATACATACATACATACATACATATATATATAAAGAAAGAACGCGTCGCGAATTTTCCCATACGTAGTTAGTTAATGCAACTGTTATAATGACATAATAATCGCGGCGTAAAACGTTTTACGCAGTGTAACGCTTTTTTTTGACCATTAACTTTTGCGATAACTTGACTGTTGTCCAAACTGCAGTTCCGTGCGCAAAGCAAAAGTTTGTACTGTTTTGTTAGAAAGCTGCAACTCGTGGGAGCGACATTACTTTGTATGTAAACCAAAAATGATACGAACCTGAACTGCGGTTTAACCGGACCGTTAGCGCATACATTCAGCTCAATTTCGTTGGGGTCCTGACTGCCAGGCTTTGGGAGATATAAGGGATAAACCGGATCGCGCGGGAAGCCATGCTCTTTAAATACTCCATAACGATACACGGCCCACTCGCGCAGAAGCACGTGATCTGAAAGAAGTGGAATCGGATGATTTTTGTCTGTTTTGTATTACGCAATTCGGCCGGCCAGGCGTCAATAAACGCCTGTTTCGAAGGTGAACTCCAGTCTAGCTACGGCTAAGTTGATCGGCGCTGATAAAGGCCTGTATACCTGCATATGGACTTCTATCAGTGTTTTACAACATAATATCAAAATGTTACTAAAACTAGCTGCGTTACACTACTTACGTGGTTTTCCGTATTTGTCGAAACGGTTCGGCGACTGATCGCTATTGGCAGCGTAGGTTCGCAGGAACGTATCGGGCACGACAAGGTGCCTACCTTGTACACCACAACCGCCATATTGTACTACGAATGGAATTTCGCCAAATACTGACTCTTCTCCTCGCTCGATGAGGATATCGGCGCGGTTCCATTGTTGCCAACTTGGAGCTTTAACCTTAGGAGGCTTTTGTGGGGCCCACGTACCCCTGGAACCCCACGAGCGTGGAACGATTATAAATACCTCGTGTATGTATACGCCTCGTGCCCGATGTAATTCTCCGGACGCATTGCGAAGGACAGCCTGAAAAATGGCATACATCCAAAACAATTAGGATGATCGTTACCATTTGGCACTTCATTGATAATTGAACAGTATAAACAATGTAAGAGGGATAGCACCGTCTTGAGAATTAGCAAATACTTTCCCACGTAAATGGTCTCTTTGTCTACTCGAACACATGAGTATGTATTTAAATGATGTAACCGTCACTCTTGCTTGCAGTTTGTTCATTATACGATTGTATGTATTTATATGCGAACTTATAGTAATTTTAATGAAAACAAAAAAGCATTTTAACATTGTCAATTTATATATTTTATACTATTTCTACATTATTAATCTTTTTCACTTATTGATTAGATAATTCATAAAGGTTCGATCACCAGGCTCACAATTTGAAGCTGCGTAGAAAAAGAGCTTTTCAAGGACGGCCCTCCGACAAACCGTTTTTGGAATCACTAACCTGGGCATGATAAACACCCAGGCCCATTCATCTAATCAACAACGATGAACAACCCAGCTTTTGATGCATATTACTAACAGTCGATATCCAAAAGCTCTCAAAGATCTATCCCGTTAGTATTAACGGTTACCGTGCACAGCAGTTTCGCAGCTATCTGACTGTTCGTTAACTAAGCAAATATACCAGACACATTTGGTAAAATTATACTGCAGGCAGAACGGCCAGTTAAAATCCGATTTTGGCAGAAAGACCCGTTCACTCGTACATGCACATATTCAATCGAAATTAATGAGTAACTTATATTATACTATAAGTATATCCAGTTCCAGCCATTATAGGTACATAATATCCATCCGCTGGCCGGTCAGTTGTCACTTCCATTGTGATTGTCGCAAACTTGGTGGCAGCGATGATGTTTCTTTATTGTTTGGATAACAGCCAGAGATCCCATTTGCGACAAATACCATTTATCCTCTTGTCCCAGTCAAGCTGGAAGAGCGTCACCCCCCAGGCTGGCACCGCTTGCGCCTATCTGTGCTTCGATCGGCTAGTTTTCCTAGAAATGTCTTAGAATTCATCTATTCCATGTTAGGTCAGAAATTTTGCCTGGTCAGGCGCAACTCATGGGAAATGGACGCCCGCTTCTAACAAGCCGTATAGCAGTTCGGCAAAATTCCGTATGAACCGGCGTTATCCCTGAAAACCTAAAACTGACAAACAATAGTAGGTGGCGATAAGGCATCGATCACCGCAACCTTCTATAGGTTAGGAAAGGTTCCTAGCGAGAAAACCCTATCCCCGAGATATACGACCTTACGCCTAGCGAAACAGCATTTCGATGCTTTTAAGATGTGCGAGGATAATGTAGATGCTTTTCGAATCTTCTGGAGAATACGATCATATCATCGAGATAAGCCACAAAGCCATCTTGTACACCAACTGACTAATGCCCAGTTCATCATTGGCCAACCCGGCAAGCACCCGTTTGAATTGATATAAACCGTCTAGAGTGCAAAATACGGTTTTCTCTTTGTCATTGTCAGTCGTAGAGGTCTAACAATAGATGCTCGTCAAATCAAATGTGGAAAACATCTGTGCTTTTTTTGACAGGTCGAAGGCAATGGGAAGACGTCCTTCTATATGACCGCATTTAATCTACGATAATCCACACAAAACCGAATTTGACCGTTTTTCATTTCCACCCGAACGACCGCGGAAGTCCATAGACTGAATGTGGGTTCATTATCTAACATCTGCTAAATTTCGTCGGCTATGCGAACCCGTTGTACTGATGCGACTTGCCGTGGACTTGTATACTAGGAAATGTGGCCATCGGTGGGTACAGTATAACTGATGAGGGATGTTGCGGGTAGCTCTATCGGCTTTTGGAATGAACGCTTGACTACATAAAATGCATACGGTCAAGCTGACTATTGCCGATATGAAACATGGGCAAAAAGCGTCTCGGAGCCTTCCGACCCGGTGGGTCGGAAGGCTCCGAGACGAGGATGGTCTATTTTCCTGAATTTTTATCTTCTTTAACATATATATAGCGTCGTTCGAGTTTGGTGTCCAAGACTTTACGTGCTCGTTTTGAGGTAGCTGTCACTATGCGAAAAGGAGATCACGAAAATGCTAACAGGGGATGCGTGCAAGTTCCTATTCACCTGAACCGTGGACTTCGCTAATTTGACGGTAGCAGCTATACTCTTTAACGATTCTGGGGGTGTGTTGACTGGCTTTTGTTAGCGCACACGGTGATACATTAACCGGTTTATTTCTCGCTGAAACAAAATTGTTTCTTAGGGAGGGTCACTCAACGTTGCAAACCAGGTTGTCGACGACGGCGAGTACCTTTACCTAGTCCCCTTCGACTTGGAGTTTTAATTCCGTAGCACCGTGTTGGGTGCGCTGACATCTCCCCACCGCTGTCCGGTCCAACCTAGATTAGCCCCACGCGTTCCAATTTGACGTCGATTTCAAACACCTAAGAGGAGACGGCTTCAATAATTTGGATGGCCGGAAAAATGAGCTGGCGTCGCCTGGTGTTTGATGGCCATGCACGTGGGCAGTTACCTTGGAAGTGGTCTCGTTTTCGACATTGATAGCAAAGCGCATCGGTACAACGGTTGGTGCGTCCAAGCTGAGCAGATCCGGTCGCCTGGCTGGCGGCTCTTCGGTTTATAACACCCTTCGGGCTAGGTCAAGGTGTTATACGGGGTCGAAATGGCTTTAGATTCTGAGGCATAAACATAATTAATGTGCTTCGTACGAGCAACTTTGGGAGCCTCCATCGACCTCTATTTAAAGTATTACATTTCTATTATTATTCAATTCCAAATGATCGCGGATTGATTGTTCTTTAAACACCTTAATGTCAGCAGCGTCATGAAGTTACTACAACTTACTTTCTAGAAACGCACTTAGCCTATGTATAAATCTGTTCTGGACCTTGGCAGAAGACGGTAATATCTTTGAGTATTTGGAACTTCTATATGGAAGACTTTCATGGCGTCTCGCATAAAAGTCAATTTGTCTCGACAACGAAGAAGCAGGATCCTCTTTAGAACTGGCCATTCTTAGCATTTCAATAATGTGTGAATTAAACTATACCGGAAGACTGCTAAGAAAAGGATTATATAATTTCAAATAATCGCCAATGCTCGGAGGAGGCACATCTTTAATCTACATATAAATATGCAAAATTGAAAACGAGCTCCACAGAGTTCCTGCGGGATTCCTATTACACTCAAATACCTGTTTGCGCTGACTCCGAGCCGTTTGTCAATTAGGTAACGTGCTTTAGAGAAATCAGAACATTTTTAATTTATATAATGCATGGTTGTATCTGGTTGCATCTGGTTGGTATGCATCCCCCAGTCTTGTATCATATTCACCAACTATCATACGCATTTTGCCTTTGGAAACCGTCTTTTACAAAGACCATCTTTACGTCACGCATACGTGTCAGTGGTTCTTGATGCGCTCCATGTGTTTACCATATGCAAGTGCTGTTGTTGACCATTAACTTAGTCATGCGTCTGTTTATGACGTATTGGGCACTCTTACGCATCTTCACCCAGAGTTTGTGCGACGTAATAAGTGCCTGCTTAGTCGATATATATCCGAGTGTGCTATAAGCGTGCTTAATTTGAACCATGACGGCCTTTCCAGCCTGTACTTTTGCCTTCTTCACCTACATACCTGCTTCACTCGTTTTTCCAATTCTGCGCCCAAGAACTTAAATCATATCACGCGAACTTCGATCTAACGCATCTTACATTAAACATGTTGCCATAAGTGCAATGTTTATTAGGACGTTAGTTGCAGGAACACAACGAATTGATGGTCTGGCTCTTTGCCACGTCTCAAAACAACTTTATTCCGCATGCCTATCATTGTCATGTAACCCCTCAATAAAAATCTACTTGGCTTATCTTAATTTGTGTGTGTTGACAGCTGATGAAATTTTTCTGTCTGCAAAACAGCCAGTATCTGAACTTGAACACCTGTTGACACCAAACCACCTCGCTGTTTACCACCGCACGCCTGTCATAGAAGCTTTATAGGACTTTTTATATTAGTTATAGAGCTGAAACATTCAGCCGTGGCTATTCGCTTTATAATATCCACACCTAAACGTTCCTAAATCCAATACATCGGTTTTCGTGCGTGTCTGGTTCACTATTATTTTATAAAATGCCATCGCGCATTGTCTCGAATAAGTTTTTGCTGTTTGATTGATCGTCGTATGGAACAACAGGTGGCTCGCTACCTGACTATTCTTTCAAACAGGCGGTTTTTTGCGCGTTAACAAAATTTGTATTTTCTTAAATCTGGGCTAAGACCGAACGATCCTTCCTCAGCTTCACATGATATTCTAATGTAAATTTAAAATGTACAGAACTAAAGAATGCTTGCGTCAGGATGACTACATGTCTAGCACACCTTGAACTTTTCCTAATCGAGCACTCCACTCAAAAATGACCATTTAGGTCAAACATGACGTCACGATATAAAATTTACTTTCTGAACAGCCACATGAAAAAAACATTGCTCACACGGTAAATACCGCACGTAGTCGTTAACGGTATCTGGTAACCCGGACTGCCCTACCTGGATCGACCATCATTCATCTTCACGCGTCGGATGTCTGCGCGCAACCTCACGTTTGTTTTGCCACGTCGGCAGCTTTATAAGCCACGCCTTGTTAAATGTATACTCGATTGAGTTTGCGCCTACATACGAATTTTTTGCGTTCAAATCAAATCCTCCTAACCGTTCTTGAGTAGATAGGATAATAAGACCTGTTGGAGAGCTGATCGAGACTGTTACTAGACCAAATATTCTGATGAGATCGGGGGTGCGCTTAGTGAGTTTACAAGGTATGTTCCAACTGTAAGTTGTTGAAACATCGAAGCTAACTTTGCCTGTGTGGCTTTCCTCGATCGAGTTCAACATTATCGGTATGATGAAATGAAAATTGGCTTTACCATATCAAGCCGTGTTCATTAGACGTTTATGCTGCACCATGACCAGTAAACGAATCGCGAAGTAC